GGTTTTGTTAATATTTGATTGATTGCCTTCTTTAAATTTAGTGTGATTCGTGTAGACACATATATTGTAATATCTAAACTAAAGGAATGGATTAAATTAAGAAACTGCTTTCTCGTCAGATTCTACCAGTAAATCAGTGATAAAATATGCACATATAACAATGGATTCAAAGAGCAATTGGTGACTATTTAGTGTTATCTCCAGTTTTACAGAACATAATATAATCTACTGCTCTCTTTGTTGGAGGCCTGTAGATGCAAAGTAATATAATTTTTAGCGTAGGAAGATGTACTACAGACATTTCAAAAACATTTTCAACGGAATACACATTTAATTCAGTCAAGGAAATAGAATCAATATTATTTGTAACGTAAAAGCAAGAACCCCCATATGCAGGACCTTTATGTGATTCCTGTTCTCAACAATAATAGCCTGCGAGGTAAAAGTTTGGAATTTGGAAAATGCTAAGATAATTATGAAATGACAAATGTTCTGTAAAGCGAAGAACATCCATTTGATTGAAATCTCTCTGTAGAGCTGCTTCGATAAACTCAGTTTTAGTTGTGTTATGTTCTTGGGGATCATAAATAATTCATTTGGAAAAGTATAAAACGTTTATTGTATTCACAATACATAATAGGTAAGAACGCGCGACAACTTATTAACGGTCACTCGGGAACACGTCGGGGAGAACGTCCGTCCACTACGATTGACTGCGAGAGACTGAGGGACTGGAGAGACTGAGTCATGCTCGAAGCAGCAAGAGAATGGCAGACTGCGCCAGTGCGTCGCGTGCTACCAACTGTTGAGCGCCAAATCACCAGCAGTAAAAGAGGAATACATTTATGTGCATATACATTTCCTCCCCATTTTACTGATTGTGCGATTACATGTCCTCCCCCTTTACCGAGTGTGCAATTAACTAGGTGAGAATCTTGATGGTGGGACTCTTATGCGAAATGATCTACGTGGATTCTGAGGAGTGTACAATACGCGTGGTGCTGGCAGTCTCAGCTGTCTCTGGGCTAATGGAGTTGCTGGTGTCGATGGAGTCAGTGGTGTAGTTGGTTGGTGTGCCTGGTATCGCTCGGGGTTCTATGGTGCCATAATGAAGTCGTCTTAACGTTGGCCCATTATCAACTTGTATAGGTTCTGCCTCGGATTTGTTTTGCGGTTTATTATCTGGAAATGAGCTGATCTGGTCGATATGTCTTTTAACCTTTTTGTCTCCAAAATGTTTCAAGTAATGAAGATCACCAAGGCGGTCGACAACAGGGCCTGGAACCCATTTATCCAGGCTAGGATTGCCGGACAAGAAGTAAACTTGATGTCCTATTTCCAGTGTACGGAAAGTCGAGTCCAATTCGGTCCGTTGTTTTTCGCTGACCCTAGTGTGAACATCGTCCGGTCTCACCAGATTGAGCGATGTGCGAAGTTCTCGTCCCAAGAACAGTTAAGCTGGAGTCTAACCAGTGGTGGAGTGTGGAGCCTTTCGGAATTGCCTCGTTCGGAAGGAACTCGTTCAGGTTAGTTCGCAGTGATCCCTTGGTAGAATTCATTTCATTAAGTGCGTCCTTCATAGATTGAAAGTAACGTTCTGTTTGGCCATTAGTTGATAGGTGATACGGTGCTGTTAGCTTGTGATACTTCACACCATTGCTCTTCAGAAATTCTTTGAATTTTTCGGCAACTGAACTGCCTACCGTTGTCTGAGACAACAGTTATGGGGCTTCCATTGGTTGTGAATAGCTCGTCCATCAGGGCAATTGTTGCAACCGCAGTTCTTGAAGTTGTAGGCTTAAATTCGAGCCACTTGCTGATGGCATCAACAACAATTAGTAGCATGGTGACAGCCACAGGACCGGCGTAGTC